TAAATCACATGATGATGTGAACTAGATTATTGACTCTAGTGCAAGTGGGAGACTGAAGGAAATATGCCCTAGAGGCAATAAACAAGTTATTATTTATTTCCTTATATCATGATAAATGTTTATTATTCATGCTAGAATTGTATTAACCGGAAACATAATACATGTGTGAATACATAGACAAACATAGTGTCACTAGTATGCCTCTACTTGACTAGCTCGTTTATCAAAGATGGTTATGTTTCCTAGCCATGGACAAAAGAGTTGTCATTTGATTAACGGGATCACATCATTAGGAGAATGATGTGATTGACTTGACCCATTCCGTTAGCTTAGCACTTGATCGTTTAGTATGTTGCTGTTGCTTTCTTCATGACTTATACATGTTCCTGTAACTATGAGATTATGCAACTCCCGTTTACCGGAGGAACACTTTGGGTGCTACCAAACGTCACAACGTAACTGGGTGATTATAAAGGAGTAGTACAGGTGTCTCCAAAGGTACATGTTGGGTTGGCGTATTTCGAGATTAGGTTTTGTCACTCCGATTGTCGGAGAGGTATCTCTGGGCCCTCTCGGTAATGCACATCACTATAAGCCTTGCAAGCAATGTAGCTAATGTGTTAGTTACGGAATGATGCATTATGTAACGAGTAAAGAGACTTGCCAGTAACGAGATTGAACTAGGTATTGGGTACCGACGATCGAATCTCGGGCAAGTAAGATACCGATGACAAAGGGAACAACGTATGTTGTTATGCGGTTTGACCGATAAAGATCTTCGTAGAATATGTGGGAGCCAATATGAGCATCCAGGTTCCGCTATTGGTTATTGACTGAGAATAGTTCTAGGTCATGTCTACATTGTTCTCGAACCCATAGGGTCCGCACGCTTAAGGTTTCGATGACAGTTATATTATGAGTTTATGAGTTTTGATGTACCGAAGGAGTTCGGAGTCCCGGATGAGATCGGGGACATGACGAGGAGTATCGAAATGGTCGAGACGTAAAGATCAATATATTGGACGACTATATTCGGAGTTCGGAAAGGTTCCGAGTGATTCGGGTATTTTTTGGAGTACCAGAGAGTTACGGGAATTCGCCGGGGAGTATATGGGCCTTATTGGGCCATACGGGAATAGAGGAGAGAGGCCAAAAGGAAGGAGGCCTGCGCCCCCCTCTGGTTCAAATTGGACAAGGGGGGCAGCCCACTTTTCCTTCTCCCTCTCCTCCTCTTTCCTTCTCCAACAAGGAAAGGAGGAGTCCTACTCCCGGTGGGAGTAGGACTCCCCCCTTGGTGCGCCTCCTCCATAGGCCAGCCACCTTCCCCCTTGCTCCTATATATATGGGGGCAGGGGGGCACCCCAAAGACACAACAACAATTGATCCTTGAGATCTATTAGCCGTGTGCGGTGCCCCCCTCCATCATAGCCCTCCTCGATAATATTGTAGCGGTGCTTAGGCGAAGCCCTGCGACGGTAGAACATCAAGATCGTCACCACGCCGTCGTGTTGACGGAACTCTCCCTCGACACTCGGCTGGATCGGAGTTTGAGGGACGTCATCGAGCTGAACGTGTGCTAGAACTCGGAGGTGCCGTAGTTTCGGTGCTTGATCGGTCGGGCCGTGAGGACGTACAACTACATCAACCGCGTTGTTCTAATGCTTCCGCTTTCGGTGTACAAGGGTATGTAGATTACACTCTCCCCTCTCGTTGCTATGCATCACCATGATCTTGCGTGTGCGTAGGAAATTTTTGAAATTACTACGTTCCCCAACAACACCATACCTTCAGTACCACTTAGTACATATGAAAAGTAGATTATGATAATTGACCTTTCATGATCGGATTTCAGGCAATCATGATATTGTATTTTGTAGTTTTAATAATTCTGACTAGAGGGGTATTTCGTGACTTGTGAGTGTCAGGTTCGATGCATAAGAAATCGTGGTCTATTTGTTATGTGCCATTCTGCGAAAGAACTTCATCATCATTATGCATTTTCCCCCCTTTCATTTGAGTTAGTAAAGTGGTTTCTGCAAGACCAATATAATCTGGTAATGTTATTGCAATGCCATTGAAATTTTGTCGTGCTCATCAAACTCTTTGACCTTGCAGACTATAAAATATAAATTTCATTACTGGATTATTAAGTGGTTCAGAAGATTGGTTTCTCTTGCAAGCAGAGGATTTCCCTTACTGTATGGACCAGAAATTGAATGTATTATTGATGTCTTTGTTACACGATCTATCACCACTCCGACGTCCGTGCCGCGTCGGGAACTCCTCTGCTACATCCTCCTCTCCTGATTTTGTAGATGAATAACCTACCATTTCAATCTGTGAAATATTGCTGAATTTTGTAAACTGTCAGATCATGGTACTTACAACCAATGGAAACCATAGAATTGATGTTCATGAAAGTGGACCAATTACTCTATTGAGGAAATGTAGCATGTAAGATTTAGAGACTTTCATATGAGAATGCTTTGCGCTGCTAGGCGTTCATGATCTTTGTATATTTCAATGGGCCTTTGCGAAGGATCTTCACATTAAAGGCTCCTCCTATTCTCAAGATTATTCAGGCGGTAAGCTTTGAGATTGATTTCTTTTTTGTTTCCCTTTCATTTTGGAGAAAGCAACTGACTGTCTGCTATATGGTTTCCCTTTTGTTTCAGAGCAAGCAACTGGCTTTATCTCTCATATGTGTGATTGGAAAGATGACTGACATTTGACTACGACACTACTAACTGAAGACGATTTTATGTTATGAGACTTTGGCCTGATTTCAGAGAAGTACTAAATTCTGAAGTTTGTTGTATGGCAGTACTATCTCACAAGTACATTTGTTCACACTTACTTGAATGTACCCTATGTGTCAATTTGTGGTCTGTGATTTTAATGTGTGTTTTCCCTGTTGTTGTCATTATCCTCGACAGATAATTCAAATGGTCGATTCATGGCTTGCTACAATAGGTGATTTTCTGAATCTAATGTATTCTTTTGCTGCTGTTGTTAGGTTGTTAAGTCATCAAGACCAACTACTGAGTATACATATTTTGTTCATCTTCCCTGCCTTTTTAGGAAAAAACATGTACCGAAGTCTGAAGGTAAGCTATTCTTTATTTACATTTTATTTGTTTCTTCCTGCTAACCCAGGCTCTAACTAAATGCAAGAGCTTGTGTAATGCTCATTTGCAAGCTACAGGGGAATGCTCATTTACACTTTTAACAGAAATTGTTTGCTAGCCATAGCTGATGTTAATTCTTTGCTGGATCTTATGTCGGTAGGGAGATCAATGTAATTGCCTGGAATCATTGGGTCTCCCTTTAATTCTGTCATCTTCTGTATTGTGGTATTAAATATATCTGTGATGAATTGGCAGGTAAATTTAGGTAGTATCAAATATACTCTTATCATTGGTAAATGCTGCTTATCGCTTCTTCACTGTATCCCACCAGATAATACATGGTGTGTTTTTTTCAACGTAATGATGATATTAAAACCTTTGCCGTTTCTATATGTAAGCTAAGCCATTGATGTTGTATTGTTCTTTTGTTCTTATATGTTGTTCTCATTAAATGATAACATGGTCGGAGAGGAGATGATTCATTGTCGAGTCACTGCTGCATATGGCATGTTATCAGTTAATGGGTTAACTGATAACATGACAGGACTAATGATTTTATCATCATCGCATTTATTTTACCCCTTCTACAATTTCAGTTAGTTATTGTAAAGCATTTTTAATTTACTTAAAGATACAAATTGCTGTAGTCATAGGTCAGCTTATATTTCCTATCATACAAGTTGTATGTCCTTGGAAGTGACCTTTTGATTATGTGCAAACTCATCTCGGAAAGAGTCTGAAATCAGTTCGATAAAAAGGGTGGTAATCATGGCTAGACACTCGATTCTTCACGTATTTGTTGGATCACAAAGATGTCTCACATTTGAAAATACAATTTGATTGGCGTGCCAACATTTTGTATCCCTTTGATTTATTTTTTCAAGACTTGTTTCAATAATATACCATGTGAACTCACTTATAATTGTTTGGGACGTGCGTTGCACGTGCATGCTAACTAGTAATTTAGTAACTGCAAAAAAGTCAAAAAAAATCGCATCTTTTTTGGAATCAGATATGATCAAGTATTGTACTTGTATAGAAAGATTCGTTAAGGAATGACTTCCATGATATTCTGGATGACAAAAAGAAAGAAATCGAAACGCTATATACAAGCACTCTTCACGCTACTCCGTCCTCAATTTTTTTTGCCTGATGTCAACGGGTTTTTCGTCCAAGGGATAGCGGCAGCGTGGGTCAATTTCAACAACAGAAGCGGCCGCCGAGCGAATTGGTGTGCGTCCGGAGGTCAGCGGGTGTAGAGATGACTACGGGTGGATGTTGAAGACGAGGAGAGGGCCAATTTGGATGTTGGAGACGAGGAGAGGGCCAATTTTTTCCTGGCCGCGGCCGCTTACAATTTTTTAGGAGATAAACTAGATAAGGGTTCGGCTAGGTCCGATTTAATATAACTCCTTAAAAATAAAAGTTTATAGTTTTTTAAAGGATCGGCTAAAGATGCTCTGACCAAACATAGAAAGAGGCCAGGGGCTCCGTCGCCTCGGCCGAGAACCATAGGTGTGTTTAGTGCCCTGCTAGAGGGTCTAATCCAGCGATAGGTTGTTTATTTCATGATACTAACTTGGTAGTACCGTAGTTGTTGATAAATTTTCAACAAAATTGGTCAAACATTGCACCATTTGACTTGACAGAAATTTTATAGGTTTCTTTTTTGAGACAAAGGAAGTACACTAGTTAAGAACCGTCAATCAAAACAGACGCTGGACAAAGCTGATGTGGTGGACAAGATAAGCGCGCTTTATACAGAGAAACAAATCTGACAGTATTAGTTCCTAGTTCCTACATATGCTGCTGCAGTATCACCGCTAACCACTAACTCGCCAAGCAACGGCAAGGCCACTTGGCCGAGTAAAATCACATGTGAGACTCGTCGATCCTGCTTTTGAGCAGCTGGAAAGCCGGGATCACCCACGCTCCGCAGCAGCACTGCATACCTGCCCAGTCGAACGATCCCAGCCGGGTCTTGCATCCCATGCACCACAGCTTGTTCGAAACGTACCCCTCTTCCACTGCAAACGTCACGGGATAGACCAACACATCAGGTTTTTGCATCAAAAAATACGCTGAACCAAGAAAGGAAGCAAGAAACAAACAAAGGTAAGGTCGAGGAACTAACCAGCCTGCATCCACTTCATGGGCTCCACGAAGATGCAGGCACTGCATTCAGGCTTCTTCTCACCCGCATCGTTTCTGCGCTTTAAGAAGCCTGCCTCTCCCAGGCCTACTTCGTGCATGACGACGCACTCTTGTGTTGCTACCATCCTCCGGCACTTTTTGCAGCGGTAAATGACACCTGGATTAGCAGCAGCCTGCTCTTCTGGCTTAACATTGGCTTCCACAACTGTGCACTGCCTGATAGTTTCTGCAGGCTTTTGATCAGCCTCCGATCTTGCCTCCTGATCAGATTGCTTTTCTTGGTTAATATCAGTTCCCACAGCAGTGTCTAGGCACATTTCAGCAAACTTTTCATGAACCTCCAATCTTGCCTCTGGATTATCTTGCTTTTCTTGAACAATGCCAGCTTCCACAGCAGTGTCGTCTAGGCACATTTCCGTGAACTTTTGGTTAACCTGTGATGCTAGCATCTCATCTGTTTGCTCTGGTCCTGACTTCTGTTCAACTCCAAATCCTTGTTGCTGACTCGCTTCCATCTGCTTTACACTACATACTATAGCCATGACAAGTTTACATGCAGGCAAGCTACAACCACACAGAACCTAAAATTAGCCTACCATGCTGTTCAAAATTAAAGCCTCCACAAATGCGCTGAGAACTGGGTTCAGTTCCCCCTCTAATTTAACAGGCAAGCCATGAAAAGTCGCATATAGCCCTAGTCAGCTTTAACAGGCAAACCATAAGAAGTCGTGTATAGTGCTAGTAGACAGACACACACATATAGGTGCCCCGCAGATTGCACATAAAACAGACAAAAGCTTCTATAAATGCATTTTTTATCAACAAATATGATTGCCTAATGTACATTAAGGTGTGTAAATAGATGTCTATATGTATTCAGCTGTTCATCAGTCCCTCTATAGGGATCTCAAAATTGCTAGTAGTGCAAGCAACTCCTAAATTAAAGAACTTAGTATTAGGATTTGACTGAGAATAATCATTTCATTGTGCCTTACCTATTACATTCTACATTTATGTAATATCACTCACAGAACTAGTGGCTACAATTAAGAAATGTGTCCAGAAACACTCTTTCAGCCAACTCACACACATTCAAGCTCATCAATATGGAACTCCGCGGTACATTTGTAATGGTTGTGGTGTTTGAATAAAATTACAGGTATCTCTCAGACGATATGGCAATGGCAGACACAAGACATAATATATTGACTAGTAGTGGCAACAGATACATGGACTGTAGAGGGCTATCACATATCCCAAACTCAACTCAGTCCTTGCTTGAATCCCCTGTGCCAACTAACAAAAGCCAAAACAGATACCCCGATGCACACCCACCTGTAACTATATCCAGAAGGCTCTGAGTGGCCAACAACTCTCCAACATGACCTCTGTCAAGCATTAGGTGGTATCCCTGTAAATCTCTCACCATCTACAGCATTTGACAATGTTGATAATGCAGGGTGTTTGTTTAAGAAGTGATAATTTGTTCTCCTTTGGCAAGGTATTTTGGTTTAAGAAGCCGTATTTTGGATCATAGTACATACCGAAAAAGGGTTTCCCCCTGCTTTGTATTCCAAAGCAACCAACACCGATACAAGGAACGCTGGGGCGAACAGCACATCAAGCCCAAAGAAAAAGAAGAAGAAACAAATGACAACAACGGCAGCTCGACAAAGCGCGGATGTCTGTTAATAACTTCATAATTTCTACCGATGTCTGTTAATTAAAGAAACATACGGATGCACCAAAGAGCATGTACAGTGCAAGTGCTTGGAGAGGTGCTTGTTAAGTTATTAACCATTTTTTTCTTGCCACTTAGGATGGCGCTGGTGCTTATTTTGAAGCATGAGTGTCTGGTCAGACACCAATGCTTAAGAGGTACTCATGTATTTAATTACGACGAAATTATATATATGCTAAATCATCTAAGTACCAACAAAGAGAGAATTTGCATTGGAGTAGATAAACTTTGCACAGATGCTTGATGATGTAGGTTCTCCCCCTTTAAGCACTCATAACATGGGAACCAAGCGGCATTTGTTCTTTAATCCCGCAGGGATGAAAACACATCCAGTATTGTGACAACGTCCCCAGAATCACAGATACAATGCACCAAAGCCATCACACCTGGCTGCTAATCCTGCAGTCGCAAACTCCCAAACAGATCACACATCAAGAAAAGGTAAATCGAACCAGAATCGTGGATTTCGACCCAACAACATAGATGTGGGGCAGTTGCAGGTCGGCCATTCTACCCACCAATCAAACCAAAATCCTCTGTGGGCATTGCAAAGTACTAACAAGAAAGGCAAACGACCTTAATAGCGAAGCCGGTCGCCGAGAGCAGAACAGAAACAGGCCGGCAAAGCTCCCCCAAAACCCTAGGGTTCGGCGGGTTCTGGCAGGAGTCAAGGGAGCAAATTAGTGGGATTCTAATCGTGCTCACCTCCGGTGGATGAAGCCGGGTCCAATGGCTCCGCCTGGCGCCCTCGGCTCGTCTCGCCGCCGCGCCGCTGCCGACGAGAGGGATACGGCGCTTCCGGTTAAGTTTTTTTTTTGCCCTTTTCTGATCTGATAGAGAGAATCAGCGAACCTTCCAGTTGAGGTGGGGTGCGAGAGTGGCCGTATCCGACGCTCATTGCGTCTTATAGTCGATGAATCGCACAGGCGGGCGTGGTCGGGCGGCCCAGTTCGGTGTCTACGTTGTTCGTTGCCGGAGGGTTCCGGGTTTCCGTGCGGGTTTATCTCTTTTCTTTGGTTTTTCTGGTTTACATCTGTTTATTTGTTTTTCCCTGTAAACTCAAGTTGTATATATTAAAAAAATGCAGTTTCCTTAACAAAAGTCTATATCTTTTTAAATCTGTGTGCATTTTTTTAAATTGAATATTTTTCACAAAAAATGCGTGATTTTCTATAAAGAAATTGTGCACAATTTATTACAAATATAAACATTTTTAAATACATTAAAATTCTTTAAAATTTAATAAGTTTTTTAAATCATATGATTGTTTTTAGTTTGTGACTAGTTTCTAAAATAAGTCATTTAAAAAAATTCATGAACTTTTTATAAGTCATGATCGTTTTCTAAATACAAAGAATTTTTTTAATTTGGATATTTTTTGAAATTCATGAGAATTTTTAAAATGCATGAACTTGCTAATGATATCACATGGGATATCACGGAACAATTGGTTCTATAGAACCTAAAATCGAAGAATCATTCTTTTTCTAGTGTGTCAATTTTGGAAGGTGATGTTTTCATTTTTGGAGCGAGAGCAAAACTAACAAATGGAACAGAAATATTTTTGAAACAAGGAAACCGATTTATCATTTTCATTATTTTAGAATAAAAGGGTTGCTCGGTTAATTGGCGAGAAATCGGGTGAAAACCATCACACCTCGCTAATCAGGCACACAACAAATAGATTACACACATGGTTGCGAAGAAACATCATCGAGTTTGCACATTAGAGTCACCGACATCACTTCCCTGCAGCAAGCGAATCCGACTTCACTACGAACGGCCATCAACAAAGTCCACACCACAAAGTTCGGGATCAGCCATATGAAGAACCATGCTAACCACTCAGCTACACGCAACAACCAACGTGCAACTCTGATTTTGATGGCAAGCTATGACGGGGGAATGTGTAAGGTTGGTGGCACAGAACAACACAAAACGGACCACCGTCGCATGTCATTGTCGCCATCTAGACCTCGCGGCCACAATTCTGACTTCACAGCAAAAACATCCCGAGACAAATCTTGCAACTGACTACAACAAATTTGTCCCGACCTTAACATCGATCGCCTCCACTGTCATTGTCACGTAAGACCCCGCACGAACATTGTCATCATCTCTTTGTCCCTCCAGCTGGTGCACATCTCACAAAAATGATTTGGCCAACGAGGAAGACGACTTAAAAGTGCCGCCATCTTCTGATCACATTCATCTAGAGTTTTCCCCAAAGTTTTCGAGGGTGGAGGAAGGAGTGTATCACCTTGATGATGCCTTCGAGAAGGGAGTAGTGATGGAGTCAAATCTAGCAGACCTCAGGTAGGGGTCCCGAGCTGGTAGCCTTTGCATGATGGTAAGAGGGACACAAGATTTACCCAGGTTCAGGCTTTCTCAAAGAGATAATACACCAGGGCGGCTCACCGAGGGGAGCCAGGTAGACGGCCTGCTGGAGGGCCCACGATGCCAATCGATGAGGGGGGAGAAGATAAACACCATGCGGCCAACTTGACCTCCAAGTTGGTGTTTTGGCAACCCTATATATGTTTCTTCCCTCTGTAAAACCCTAGCCTCTTCGAGTATATAAGGGGAGGGTAGGGAGCTCTCATTCCCATCTACTCCCGTAGAAACAACTCTCGGTAGTCATCTCTCAAACACCATTGTAAACCCCTCGCATGAGGTATCCCTCCACCATGTATAACAAACACGAGCAGGATGTGGGGTATTACTCTCTGGAGGACCAAACCTGGGTAAAAACTCTGTGCGACCTTCGCTCTGAGACTTCCAGATACGCCAAGACCCCTACCGAGGGATCTGATGGTTTTCTGCACCATTAGTTGGCGCGCTAGGTAAAGGTTGCGTCAGCTGGAGGTCGATCTCAAATTTGATCTTCCCTAAGCTCCGCTGGCCTCCCGTCGGGGGAGAGCATAACCTTTGGTTCTCTCACTTTTACCATCGATGGGGCAGGCCGGGTCGACATACACCCACCGGCCGAGCATGTTCGTACGATCTACATCGGCACCATGGCTTTCACGTTAACTATCATGGCGATTTCCGCATGTTCATACCACCGATCCAACGACCGCGTAGACACATCCGTCATCAACAATGGCATATTCACCGCCGACCTCCGACTCCGAGGATGGCGGTACACTAACACCACATGCACTCCCAACCTGGGCATCAAGGACTAGGCGATGCGGCGACCCCGCGCATTTCCACCAGCCCACCCTGATCTCACACTTCGTCGCCATGGACTACAACAACTGCTTCATCACGCACACACATGAGAACTGCATCATCAATGGCTCCAACTCTAACGAAGGCATGAACCTAGTCGACGTTGTTTCACTCTCAGACTGCAAAAGCAATGAGGTCGGGATATGCTACTTCTTGAGCTTGTGTTGATTTTTCCCTTGAAGAGCAAAGGGTGATGCAGCAAAGTAGATATAAGTATTTCCCTCAGTTAGAGAACCAAGGTGTCAATCCAGTAGGAAGTACAAGCAAGTCTCCAATCTATGCACCTACACAAACAATCAAACACTTGCACCCAATGCGATAAAGGGGTTGTCAATCCCTTCACGGTCAATTGCAATGGTGAGATCTCATAGAGATAGATATAAAAGATTACTAAAATGTAGAACAAAATAAAAGTAAATAAATTGCAACAAGGTATTTTGGGGTTTTTTCTTTTATAGATCTGAAAATATATGATGGAAAATAGACCCGGGGGCCATAGGTTTCACTAGAGGCTTCTCTCTTGAAGGAAAATAATATGGTGGGGGAACAAACTGTCGAGCAATTGAT